TTTGGTCAACAGTCTTTTTAAACTCGAGATTTAAGCATAGCGCTACTACCAGACAACTTAGGATGGTTGGTTCAATTAACTTAATTCATAGTTAATGATTGACAAGCAATAAATTCCTTGTAATTTAACCAATTAATATTAATAGTACCATAATAATATAACCTTTTTATAGGCCTGGGCTATTAGGACTCCTTGTTTTTGTTATTTGTAATTTTTTAATTTCCTCTGGTTTTTTTTCCCATCGTCGCTGCGTTTTCCATATTTTTCCCCGTTAAGTATAGTCAAAGAGAGTTGAGAAGCAAATCCTCAGATACTAACAGCTCTCGAAACGCATTCTTGAGAGAGAAACGTCGGTAAAGATGTCTTCCTTCGATGCCTTCAGCGTCGACGGCGACGAGTTGAACGTCAACTCTTCTTCCACTCATCCCTTCGCCGACCACCACGAAGATGACTCCTACTCTGCCTACGACGGTGGCTACTCCAGCTTCTCCGGCGGATTTCCCACCGAGGGTGATGTCGCTGTTGACCACACCCCCACTGAATCGCCGGAGATCTTCGGGTTCAGTGATCCGAATCCCAATTATTCTCAGTCTCCCTTCGAATCGGTCCCTGTGGAGAATGGGAACGAAAACGGAAACGGATACGGTGACGGGGTCTTTGTCTCAGATGGGCCAGTGCTTCCCCCACCGTCTGATATGGAGCCGGAGGAAGGTCGCGCTCTTCGAGAGTGGCGCCGGTGAGTGTTTGGAGTTTATTCCCTTTCAGTTTGGTCTCTGAATTTGTCAAATCTCGTTTGGACTTAGATCTGCAATGACTTCGCTTTACTTTATAAGTTAAATTATGTGTTGATCTCGAATTTCCTTCTTTGATTTGCGTTTTCTCGTAGTTGCTTGTGGCATCAAGCATAAGGATGTTTGATCTCATGCATAGAAAGAAAAGAAGTGATGACTGATGAATATAGCTCAATCCAATTCTGCTTAAATAAGTCGTTTGAGCTTCGATAATATATGAAGATGCTAATTTTACTGGGGATCTAATATAATTATATGCGAGGGAGTCATTTCTATGTACTAGAGCTTGCCAAGTTCACGCGGATTAAACTTCTTGATTGTGCCATTCTGCTAGACGCCATTTTTGTTGGAGACAATAACATCTCTCTGAGTAGAAAGTCGTCTCCACCTTTGGAAGTTTGGATCTTTAAAAATCACGACGTTTTGAGGTGCTTTTGTGGGTTACTTTAATCGGTGGATAGATTTCAGGCTCTGCAGGGTCGGTGTTGTGTCCTGGCCTTTTTGAATTAAATGTTTGTGGAAGAACAGTGATCATTAACCTTTGACATGAGATGATCGCATGAGTTCTCCAGCTGATAATGTTCATTCTTGATATCCCCATTTCTCTCAAGGCTTTTAACTTTTATGGATCTAAGGAGCAGTTTGCAAGTAATTAGGAGGAAGAAGGACTTTCATTTCTGACTTACTCCATTTCTCCCTCCTTTTATATGGATCTAAGGAGTAGTTTGCAAGTGACTCGCTAGAGGCCAGTGGAGATCATCCATATCTAGCTCTTAGTTACAGTTGATGTTCTATCTTGATTCCTGAAAAATAGGAAAAACTTACTTGAATCTGATTTTTCATAGCACATTTCGCCCTCCCCCCCCCCCGGGGGGGATCCTACATTCAGGAGGCAGAAATTTTATCGTTGTAAACATGAATCATTATATGCTAAAAATAGGTGCATTTTGAAACACATCCCTGTAGTTTATCTCCCTATTTGACTTGATTGACCTAATTGTCTACGATTCTCCTCAGCAGTTTTTCTTTCCTGAGTTTATCTTATAGATTGGGTTTGGCCCTTTTCCTTTTATCTGATTGTGTGAAAAATAAAATAAAGCTTATCAATCATTGTCACTATTCAGTTTTTGCCATCTAGGCTTCAAACAGATGCCGAATCTGGCCAGGTTCTATTGTTACCATATTATCAATATATTTATAGAAGTTGTAGAAAGCTTTGGATAGTGCGGTTGCGTCAAGCCTTGTTTAATTTCGTAGTAACACAGGTTGTAAATATTTATTGGATTAATAATATCATATCCGAGAATCATATGGCTTTTCTCTGTCTTTAGCTGAAATACAGACATAAAATCTCTTCGATCTGAAAGTTGTGTAAATCTGCATTTACCCTTAACGAACACTAGGAGGGAAAACTCCCAAAAATAGTAAAACTTTGTTATTTTTGGAATTTTTCCTCACAGTATTCTTTCATCCTTATTTTCCTCTCATTTCCCCCCAATCCAAACCAAGCCTCATTGTATGGGGCTTGGGCTTGTTTACTAATAGATGAACGAATTGAGGTTTATTGGTTAGAAAATATATAATATTGTTTGGTATTGTTTAAGTTAGCTGTAGATGTTTATTAGAACGTATATAATATTATTTACTATACTATTGTTCAAATTCCTTGTTTGCTTCGCTATCAGAGGCAAAAATATTTGTTAATGGAAAAACAAGCCTTTTTCTTGCTATTTGATCTTTAGGTGATATACTTTGCTGGACATATCTACGTTCTCATGACAATTAAAAGGTTCATCATTTAGTGAAGTGTGCCAAGCTTGTTTGCCAACAACATCATTAATGTCTTTGGCTTCTCGTATGCAGTCAGAATGCTATTCTGCTAGAGGAGAAGGAGAAAAGAGAAAAAGAAATGAGGTTAAAGATTATTGAGGAAGCTGAGGAGTATAAAGTGGCTTTCTATGAGAAAAGAAAGCTTAATGTTGAGACCAACAAAGTTCAGAATAGGGAAAGGGAGAAGGTAAAGCTCTATACATATCTTGATGCTCTTTCTTCGGTTTTTCTGCCCCTTTTAGTTTTAGCCAACATACTCTTTCTTCATTTAGTTTAATAAATTGATTGATATTCGTCTGTGACACAGCTATACTTGGCTAACCAAGAGAAATTTCACAAAGAGGCAGACAAACACTATTGGAAAGCCATCGCTGAGCTCATTCCTCGTGAGGTTCCCAACATTGAGAAGAAAAGAGGCAAGAAGGATCAGGACAAGAAGCCATCAATCACGGTCATCCAAGGCCCAAAACCTGGCAAACCCACTGATCTCGTTAGGATGCGCCAGATACTGCTAAAGCTTAAGCACACACCACCGCCTCACATGATTCCTCCTCCTCCTCCTGCTAAAGACGCCAAAGATGCCAAAGATGGAAAGGAGGCAGCACCAAAAGCAGCGGAAGGTGCCCCTAAGTCACAGCCAAACGACTCCACGTCTAATGGTTCTGCACAGAAAGAAGCTCCTTCTGCTACAGAGGAACAGGTCGCTGCATAATTCTGCCTAGGATAATGAATATGATACCTCCACTTGGTTTCCCACCAATCTTTCTTCTCTTCTGCGATCCCATTTTGCCCCTTTAGTTTTTCATTCAATGCTTCTGTTTGCCATTAGTTTATAATGCTTATTGGGTGCGCTTTATTACCAACATCAATGTTTTGTATTAATTTGCTCATTATTGACAGCTATGACCATGGAGGAGATTAATGTCTATCAGTATGAGTTTTTTTTAAAAGAAAATGGAAATATGTCTGGCTTTTTTATTATGGGAGCAGCTCATGGGATCAACCAGAGTGGTTCAGATGTGAATTTTTGAATAATAAAGGCTAATTTTTTTTTAAAATAAAAAATCATTAATTGGGATCCTACTAGATTTCGTGATACTTACCACTTTGATAAAATTAATTGTACAAGCTTTGTTAAGATTTTTTCTTTATTATAGTTTTCTTTCTAATTTGTTTTTCAATTGAAAGCGCTTGATCCCTAGTCTGAATGTTTCCTCCTAAGTAATCGCGCTATGAATGTTTCATACTTGATTATAAATCGGTTCCTTGCGCTATTTACCCCTCCAAGGAGGCCAGAAAGGCGATTTATCAGTTGATGGTAAATCTTAAATTAAACGGCTTTGGAGCTTAGGTGATCAAAAATCTCTATTTAGCTTCCTCTTTGCTTCCTCTCTCTGTTTATTATTTCTACCATTAAATTAGATTTAATGCATTATAATAGTATTCTTATAATATTAATTAAACAACAAATATATATTTAGGCAGTTAGAAATTAATATGCACACATAATTCATAGATTTCTATTAAAATATTTTATAATTCTTTTATTTTTATCATGATTATGATAATATTTATTTATATATAGATTAAATTTATTTATATGTATTTTTTATTATCTAATATTATAATAATATTGTCATAGTGTATTAAATCTCATCTAATTTAATGGTAGAGATAGCAAATGAAGGAAAGTGGGGAGAGAGTTAAATAAAGACATTCCCCTCCCAATGGTTTGCATCCATTTAAGCCGAATTTTTAGTTTGGAGAATGCCCTTGTTTTTTAACCTTTACTTTTTTATGTTTTCTCCTGGCAAAACAACTCTATCAACTAATTTTAAACTTTTAGACTCGAGTATGAGCAACATGCCCATGAGCATTTTGGACCCGATGTTCTGGCCTCGTCCCTCATTTGACGGGAAGAGCAGCTGCACTTCTATGGGGAAAAAAGAAGAAATTATATACAGTCCCCCTGCACCACTAATTTTGAATAGGTTTGCCAGTTTATCCAATAACAACCAGTGTTTCACCAGGCATTGGTTTTGGTGAAAAGAATTTTGTCCCCTCAAGGACAAAGTTTTAAATTAGAGTCTTTGTAAATCCCAGAAAACCCTTTGTAAGAGCTATCTCTGATTGGGTCTAAGAATGCTCAAAATTTAATCTTTTTCTAATTTAATCAACTATGTGTTTCGTCAAGCCAAGTCACACATTTTGGATAGTGGAGGCAGCACGTGGCATGCTACCGTAAGAATCAAATTTGTTTGTTGTGCATATGAGTTCGCTTTCCTCTAAACAAATTCTAAAATTGAGTGAATATTTCTCAGGAGAGAGAAAAAAAAAAAAAGCATGGCTGTGTTGACTTAGTAAGGATTTGTCAACAAGTTTCAACCAAATATCTCATTTCTATGACTTCTTGATTCATTATTAGAAATTAGAATAAGTTCCAGTCCCTCGTGCTGTGTGTTGTACACATACCAGTCAACACGTAATCTCTCAATTACATGTTTTCTTAATGCAAATCTGCACAAGATTAACTAAATATGCACCGTTTGTTTTGAATTTCAATATGCTTTTCATTTCACAAAAAGAAAAAGAATAGACAAAGGGGAACAAAAGGCAAAAAAAAAAAAGGGACGGAGACTTCCCTCTCCTTGACATTTCTCTCCTACTGAATTACAAAGGAAAAAATCTCGTTTCTTCTGTGAACTTTGCATTCAACACTAGGGTCAATGGGAATTATATCAATAAAGGCTTCATCGAGGGGTCACCTCAGTAATAGTGGGGGGTAGAGAATGAGTTTGATTGCTAGTGGACGCAGTGGATACGTTCTTTTTAGAGGATTCTCCTGAATTCTGGAAGAATCCTGGCGCTGTTAGCTCCTTCTCATTGAGCCGGATTTTCCTGGACAGCATATCCAAAACCTGGGACATCAGTGGCCTTCTGTTTGCTGCCGCCTGTGTGCAGAAAAAAGCTACCTTCATGTACCTAATCACTTCTTCTTCAGGAAATTCTCCAATCTCGGGATCCACTAGCTCCAAAAGTCTCCCTTCTTCATGAAGTTGCCAAGCCTAAGAAAGTGAAAAGAGATCATCATGTTTCTTCCCCCGTCCCACACAGAAAGTAACAGACACATCTTGCATATGTCTATTCCAGAAAAGACGTCGGAAGTTAATGTTATATGGGACTTGTTAAACTATTTATGGAGTTCAAGGGTGTGAACTTGTGAAAGAGCATTATGCTTTGGCATTGAAATGATTTTTGGCAGTGTCAAACATTATATCAAACACGATTCTTACTGGACTGGGGAAGGAGCAAGGAGAGAACGGCACGTGTCACCATTTTTTCTACAACTTGAGTGGGGGGTTTACCAAAAATCAAAAGATCAAGTCAATAATTAACAGACATGTAAGCACGTCGGTCGCATTTTTCAGCGGGACTCCTTTTCTGACATGCTTATGCCATCAATAATGGCTTCGGTCATCGCATCTTTTGTAGACTAGGCCTACCTAAGAATTTCCTCCTTCAATGGGTCATCTATTTGTTCTGGGGTACTGAGCAGCAAAAGCGAGAAACTGTGATCGAGCCTAAATTAATGAAATAAAACGTGGGAATGTGAAATGAAGAGCGTCAAGGCATCATTATCATCAGGATATAAAATCATCTTAGGAACTTACAGTACGTGAAGCTTATTATGTTGCATGGTAGCTTGCAAAAGCAGGGAACAGAACTTACCCATTCCAAGAGGACTTTGTCGGTTCCCCCCCAATTTGCCCTTGAACTGCTTTTGCCACTAATTATTTCCAGTACAAGAACTCCAAAGCTGTATACGTCAGCCTTCATGGTTAACTGACCACCTAATGCATATTCGGGTGCTAGATAACCGCTGTGCAAATGAAAAACAAAGCAGGGTACGGTTTTAATCAAAACCAAGTATGGATTGACCAGAAATTGACAAATGTAGCTGGTGACAGAAATGCATAATAGAGTTCTTGAAGGGTTTATAATGTTACAAAACTGATTTTTACAAAAACAAAAATATGATAATAAGTTAACAGTAGGCGCCAGAGACATTTTCATAAGCAATCTATCGAGGAACTAGTCAAATTAAAAGGCCTAAACTCTGTACAAAAGAAAAGGGGGCTTAACCTCCAAAGAAAGGTCCATGACTGGTAATGTTTCTATTGCAAACACAAACCTTCGAAAGATACACATGCTACTAGACCTGTTTGCAGATAGATCATTGATTTTTATATTTTTGGAGATATGCATCTTCGGATTTTCTTCACTGAAAACATGGGAGTTAATCTCTGTAATCATGTTTCCAGCCCAGTGGCTCGAGCATAGAATATACATATCAGCAAATCACAATGGATTGTTCTCCACGAACTTCAGTAACATCAAAATGAGCTCTCATCTTTAATTAATATGCAGTCTGGCATTTCCGAATATTGAAAAGCTAGTTCAAAGGATGCTTTCATCAGTCATTTAAAGAAACATGATCTCCTTTATTCTTGTTTTTAATCAAACTCATCTCTCGAGTGCCCCTTGAATTATCATTGGAGTTAGGTGGAACTAAATTGGAGGCATCGTATTACAAAATTTTGCACATGGTACATCTCAAAGCTTAGGTTACGTTTGGTAGGAAGTATTGAAAATGAGAGATTGGGATTGGGATTGCAATTGAGAAAATCTATTAAAAAAGTATTTAGTATAAGAGATTGTTTGTCATATGAGATTAGCCAAACCCACGTATGTAGGATTGGAAACTACCATGGGGGGAAGTGGTATTCCCCAATCCCACCTCTATAGGTTTGCCTAACCCTATATAATAAACAATTACTCATACTAAATATTATTTTAATAATTTTTTTCAATTACAATCCCAATCCCAATCCCTCATTCTCAATGCGTCGTACCAAAAGGGACCTTAGAGTTTCCTGTATATCCAGGTCAGTCAAACTCTTCAGGGTGGATATCTTTTATTAATTATGGCTAGTTTAGCTATCCCACCCAGATGTGAAAGATTAACAGATATGAAGAATCCCTACTTCCTATAATCAATATTAGTAGATGTTTGGTGTGGATGAGAAATAACAGCGGAAAGGCCAAAATTAGTTGAGCAGGAGTGCTGGACTTTCCCAAGAAACAAACAGATAAAGTTTAACCAGGAATATGGAATATAACTTACGTTGTCCCAGCAATTCTAGTGCTAATGTGAGTGATGTCATCAGGGAATAATTTAGCCAACCCAAAGTCCCCTATTTTCGGGTTAAAGTCTTTGTCAAGTAGTATGTTGCTAGCTTTGATGTCTCTGTGCACAATGTGTGGAACAAGTTCCTCATGAAGGAATGCAAGACCCCTAGCGGTACCCATGCAAATTGCAGATCTTCTTCTCCAGTCCAGTTTGATGCCTGTATTTCTTGTGCCTACATAACGATTTACAGAAGAAAGGAAAGCATGATCAAATGTCTTTTTCCTCTCTTCAGCGTATCAATCTTACACATTGATTCTTAATTCACATGAAGTTTTTGTCAAATTTACCAAGTAATGCACGATCAATGCTGTTATTTTCCACGTACTCATACACCAGAATACGACTAGATCCTTGAACAGAGCAACCAATCAATTCAACAAGGTTTGGATGCTTAACATTTGATATAGTCTTGATTTCAGTCAAAAATTCAGGGACTCCTTGCCTTGATCCTGCAGAAAGGGTCTTCACTGCTACTTGTCTTCCATCCCTCAAGGTTCCCTAATAAAATTACAACATGAATAATAAGCAGTGGCTTAAGAGTCGTTTTTGACCTGAAGTGGCATAAAAGTTAACTAGAGCATAATGTTGAAATTTTATGTAACCTCTAGGCACTCAATTCAGTTTGTCAGCTTAAGCTAGCATATAACGTGACATCATATATTTAGACCAGTCTTTAGACAGCCTTCTATTCTAGTTTTTCAGTACAATTTAAAACAAACGGATTTACTTCTCAAAGCTGAAGTAATATTTATGCATTGAAAACATAACAGTGAAAAATTGATGGAGGCAAGATCCAACAATCCTTAGCCCACCAGAAGTACGATCTAGAAACGGCACCTAAGAGTATTGAAAATAATTTTAACAAGCAAAGCTGGATACTGAACACCCAAATTGTAATGTTGTTTTTGTGAAGAGTAAGTTAATTCCATCAAAGTGTATGTTGATATGTTGAGGAAAATAAATATTGCCTTTTTGCCATCGAGGAAAATAAATATTGCTATCTAATCATTATAAGACACCATATAAGAAAATATGTAAGAGATTTGCCTGTGAATGCCAAGGCTCTACAGTAAGTCAATGCAGAACATCTTTTTCACATATGACATAAATTGTAACCATGGAAATAGATTCTCAAAGGCCTTGGCGACCTTTGCTGGTCCCATTTTGCCACTTGCAGTACAAATGCGTCCTAAATATGATATTCAGCATGGAAGGAAGAGGAGAAAAAGAAATTTGCAAATAGCACTAACCCTGAAGAAGTATTATATGTTTAACAGGCTGACAAGCATATTAATCCAATAATAATGCAACATATGGAAGTGTCTTTAAACGTAATACCTGGTAAACAGTTCCAAAACCTCCCCTTCCTATCTTCTTCCTTGAGTCATAATTATCTGTTGCCACCCTTAGTTCTTTATCAGAGAAATTCTTAACATTATCAAGTGCAACGCCTGAGCATGTACATCAAAATTATTATGAACAAGTCATAGCTGTGTTGCTTATTCAAAATAAAACAAAGAGCAAAGTGGCACAGATACCCTAAAGGATGTTTGTTATCAATACCATTATTATATAAGAGAAATATACAAAATAAGGGACGTCATAGCCTTTTGAATTCCAATCAGAAATTTACTGTTTGAACTTGCCATAAATAACAGCCCAGGAAAGCTTGACAATACTCAAGTTGAGCTATTATTAAAAAATTTAAACAATGATCACCATGGATCTAGATCCCATCTTCTCTGTACTTGGGATCTAAATACCAATATTACTTGTTTAGTTTGTTCTGTGTCGTTGGTCGTATTAGTGAGCGTAATTCTTTTATTCACAAAAGAAGCTTCTCCTGGCCCCAAAAAAACCAAAGAAAGAGCAGGCCAGATAGAAGAGCTCATAAAAAAAATAAAACAAAATATTCTCAGATATAAGCAGAATGAAATGGCAAAAAACGGAATCTCAGAAGATGCAGCAGCAGACATGAAAAAAATACAATCTCACTTCAGTTGCTAGATGTGCTGTCAATGTAAAACTCAAAACTCCAAGATCCATAAAATGACAACAAGTTTCTAACGACCAACAAGGACTCCAAATCCCAAATGTGAACTTGCTAATTAATGAAAGTTTTGGAAACTCATGAGCAACTTCTTGTGAAATGAGATTATTATCGCTCAGGTCATAATTAAGAGAAAATATTGGGATGGAATGGAAAGGATGTGATGTATATGATTCAAATTTCCATGGAAAGCATTGTGAATAAATTTTCATATTATGAGCATGACATTTGTAATAGAGTTGAGGCAGACAAACAACTAAAAAAAGAAAGGAAAGGTAATGCAGCCAAGATGAAACATCATGTACGAAAATGCAGCTTCCTCTCAAGCAGACATATGGAGGAAATCAATTAGCAGTCCCACGAGACATTAATGAAACATAAGTCAAGAAGTCCCATAATATTAAATAATAAATATGACATACTCTACAGCACGTCAAATGCTTTTAACACAGTGCTAACGAAAGGTCTCCTAACTTTTTAATGAATATGGAGCCATGTTATAAACACACTTCAGAACTTGCAAAGAACAAAAACATTTTTCTAATAGTACAGTTCTTATTTTCAACAAATGCATACAGCTTGCAAACAGTGGGGGAAAAAACGGAATTCAATGGATAAGGATATATTCAATCATTTTCAGTAGATAAACCTTGACCAATCATTTTCAGTAGATAAACCTTGACTCTCCATAATAACAAAAGAAACACGCTGATAGTATAAGTTTCCACAAATGAAAATGAAATTACACGAACTTATAACCTTATTGAAGTATAGGAATACAAAAGCCAGCAACTTCTAGGCCCTTACCATCAACGTCATTAGGATTATGAGTAGGACTCCTTTTCCTCTTTATAGTTGAGGCTCCAAAGCAGCCACAACCCATAATGGTTCTGCTATATGACTGCTGGAATCTCCGATCTGCATTATATAACAATTCCAAGGTTACTGAAATGCCATTTTCCTGGCATCTCTAATGCAGATGCTAAGAATGTGCATAAGCGTGAAATTGGGGATGTGAAATTAAAGAGATAGAAAATAACAACGACTTTAGACTTATATTATGCCGCCGAAAATTTTACCATTCTCCACCCGCTCATTTCAATCCTACCAAACATAGAATACCCTAAAAGACAGCCATGCACAAGCGTAGAAACACAAGCACAAGCAACGACATGCAACAATTGATACTATCTTCAACTAACAAGATTCTGCATTCTTTCCTACTTGATCTATGGAACTTCTAATTCCTAACAAAGTGAAACAATTACTCAGAACAATCAATAGAATTCCAAAAAGTCAACTGTTTCAAGTCGATAGTTTCTTGTCCCTTCCTTCGTTCAAGTGAAGATTACAAGATGCACAGCGTCTTCAAATCGAAGCATTGAAACGAAACTGACGGATATATCGGATTAACGATGACTTAAAAAGTGAAAAATCAATTTCGAAAAATACAAACTAAGCAGACGCTAGCTAATCCTAACTCATATCAAGCACGCGAAGTTCCCGGTCCATAAATTCTGCACCCATGTATCCACGCGTCTCCTAGAGAAAACCCAATTCCAGCCATAAACCTAACCCACTACGTGACTATGATTTAAGTCACCAACTCAAACGCTAGAAAATCTCCATAAACACTAAATTACTAGCAAATCAAATAGCGAAACCAACAACGATATATCACCATATAACAGCCAAGAAAAAAATAGTTTCCAGCTTGAGAAGCGAGGACCTCGTTGGTAACCCAATTCCGCCGGACTATGTATGTCACTTTCAGCTCTTCAAGATGGAAGCAGAGATGGTGGAGGGAACATGGAAATGGAGAAAATATACTTTTTCCCAGTGGTCGATGAATAATAATAATTAATTGATAATTGGCAGTTTTATAGCACAGTGGTTGGCGTTGATGTGCTTCGTTTGGATGCTGTTCGTTCCTGGATGTGGATGGTGAAAGTGTGAAACGACTAAGAACAGTCACGTGTCCCACCTCACAAGCTCGGACTTCTTCTGCTTCTTCAACTCATGGGAAGATTTCCCACCACTTAGATATCCTGCCTGTAGCAGAAAGTGACCGTTTTCTTGTTCAGTTCAACCTTTTGCTCCGTGGCTACAAGCCTTCATAATACCTTCTCGTTTTCGGAGAAGCATCGACTGGTCATTGGTTGGTTATCTTTCACGGCTGTTTTGAAGTCTGCAGTCAATATATGTAAATCAAAATCAAGATAAATAAATTGTCTTATTCGGAAAAAAAATCAACCTAAGCGGTCGACTTGTCTCATTATTCCTGATCATGAACGTTGAGTTCAGACTGAACATGAGCAAGGTTGGATCCGTCTTCACCCCCGATCCATGACGCAATTCGAGCCAACCGGTGCCCGAATGTTAGAATCCAGCTTTGACTAAACCCGAAACCCTTGTTAGAAAATTATTTTAAACATATGAAAAATTCTATCCGTCAAGCAAAAATATAGTTAATATAATTCAAATCGATTTTTATATTAAAATTTTGCAACAATTTTTAGAATGTGAGTATTTGTCTTGATCGGAATCATTCATGTTGATAATTTTGAATGGTTTATATTTAACTTAAATATTTTTGACATAAATACTACTCCTCCGGTCCTTATTATAAGACCCAATTTGACTTTTTATTTGGTCCTAATTATAAGACCCAATCCATTTTGTCTCTTATATTTATGTATTTTTTTCAAGATAATCCTTCTGATAATGATAGTTTTAGCCAATATACTTAATTAGCAAGGATATTTTAGGAATAACAACACTTATTTATTATAAATAACCAACTTAACTTACTTCCTTAATCTCCTCAAATAAGTCAATTGGGTCTTATAATTAGGACCGGAGGAGTATTTTTCTGGTCTTCAGGGGTTTTTTTTTTCACTTCAAAAGAAATAAAAATAGTGGCCATGTTTCTCTTGCGCAGTTATGAACTTTCTCAGCTGACAAGCCGTACGTTAACCACCACAGGCTAGTTACCTCAACCTATGGGTGAGTACAGATTGTACAAACACAGCCAACCTGATATTGTCTCCGATTCTAATTATAAAAACTAGTTGATTAATTTAAAGAAATTAAAAAAATTAAATTAATTATTTATAATAAATAAGTATTATCTTTCCTAAAATATTCTTACTAATTAAGTGTATTAGTTAGAACTACTATTGTTAAAAGAAATGTTGAGAAAAAATACATAAATATAAAAACAAAGTAGATTGAAATATTATATTTAGGACCAAAATAAAAGTCAAATAAGATTTTATATTAAAGACTGGAGGTAGTATATAATTATATACAGTTATAACACATGCGTTTTTCATACTATTTTTTTTATCAATATATAATATAATATTCATATTATGTGTCTCATTCCAAGTTTTTTTTTTAATAAATTTATTGCCAGGCCTAAAATCTGTGGTCAGCGGGACGTAGATAAAATTCATGATTCAAATTCTCTTGGCATAATCTTAAAAAAGGTACTCTTTGTTTTTTTAGGCCAAAAATGTTTGTTTGTGAAAATATAATCTTTTCATGTTTTTTTAAACAATGAAGAAATATTTGAGAATGTTATGAAAATACAATCTTTTCATCATAATTACAAACCAAGTCGGTTATTCATATAGTTTAACGTCAAAGGGAAAATATTTTTCAAACTCACCCAACATGAAAAAAATTCAAAATTTTGGTAAAGATATGCTTAAATGAATAAAGCAAGTCTTATTCTATGTGATTTTTTTTTTTTGTTGCTAAAGCATAAGTCTTTGTCTATTACAGGTAATTCTACTTGAAACACTGTTAAGTACTAAATATTAGTACTTCTCGTAACGGGAATTCAAACATTAAATCATCACGTCATGAAAAACTAATCTTTTTTATTAGACTCAAGCCCCTTAGTTATGTGATGATCATTTGTTAATGGGAAGCAGCTGTGATGGAATAATGCCTACATTTTCAACATCACGGTCTCAATTTGAAAAGTCGTACAAGTTGGACGGCAACAAACAAGGAATAATTTAAATTTCCAACATAGAAGGAAAGGAATGCAGCTACCTTTATTTGACTTTTTATAAAGTAGCTTGCTGGAAATTTTTCGTAAAAAAATTGCAAAATTTATCTCCTAAAGTTTCCTGAATATTTAAGTCTCTGAGCAGATGCAATTTTTCTTGAGTTATTTATAACATATTTTCAATTATGTATAAATATATTTTATTTTGCATTTTATTGAACTAGGTTGCACATGATTAGAGAAAAATTGCACTTACCAAAAAAATTTTGTACCTTAAAACAAATTTCGGATATTTTTGCACAATAAAATATGTAATGAGATTTTCTTAGAATATTTTTTTTTGCTACACTTTTGAGAATATCTTTTTATACCAACGTTTATCTGACTTTTGCCTCAGCACAACTGTGTACACTAGAGAACCACCGGTTCAAAGAAATGATATGAACTGGCCCAGAAGAGAAACAGCTAATAACTAATGAACCTAATAATGATAGCTCGTGGATAATATAGTTTAATTTGTTGGGGTTTTTTTTAATCAATATTACTTGATTGAATTTTAATTATCAATTGTTCCAAAAAAAAATTTTGATGAAAAAAACATGGCTGGGATGTCAAGATATGTTGTGTCTGGTTTTCTAGAAATTAAAAACGAAAAGAAAATTATTCCCAAACATGAAATGGCTTTTTCTATTGACGTAAAATGGTTAATTTCCAATGTCATGAAGGAATTAATGCACATTTAATTGACCGGCGCAAAGCAACAATTTTGTGTTATAGAAAATGAAGCAGGTTATAAGACTTTTAAGTTTTGACAGCAAAAATTTGAAGTCTGAATGTAAAAGTTCACATTAATTAGCTATGACCCTGAAATGTGAAATGGATCTAATTACCTAACAATTTGATTTTGTTGTGAAAATTTTCTGAATAAATTATTGTACTTTTTATAATATACTACCTCTGGTCCTTAATATAAGATCTTATTTGATTTTTATTTTGGTCCTAAATATAATACCCCAATCCGCTTTGTCTTTCATATTTATGTATTTTTTTTAAAGGTAGTTCTTCTAACAATGGTAGTTCTAACCAATACACTTGATTAGCAAGGATATTTTAAGAAAGACAACGCCTATTTATTATAAATAACTAACTTAACTTCTTTCCTTAAACCCTCCAAATTAGTCAACTAGCTCTTATAATTAAGGTCGGAAGTAGTACTTTTTTTATAATTTGAAAGGGGTGTTTGGAACACCCCATAATTACTTTCAAAAGCACTTTTTCATAAATCGAGACAAATTCCTCCACATATTTACTTCGTATACTGTAAAAGTACTTATAAAACTATGATTTTGTTCTTACCCAAACACCCTCGAAGTCTGAGTGCAAAAGTTCACATTATTGCAGTAGTTGACGGTTTGTCGATAGAAATTTAAAATTGAAGATGGAACTTCTGGTTGTCATTCGTTTAGTCATACTCTTATTTATTTATTTTGACGAAGAAAGCGCATCAACGCAAACTAAATGCTTAGCCAAGCAAGCCTTCCCTTTTTTTCTCCCCATATGGTTAGGTATTGGTAATCCTATTTAAGATACCATAAGACACTAAACATGGGTACCTCATCACATTATGAAATATCAGTTTTTTCTGTTAGACTCAATCCCAGCTGATATAAACAAAGTGTGCTAAACTATTGATATCACAACCTATCAGAATTTTTTTTTTTTTGGGGACTGAGAACCTATTTAATCTAATCCGTTGTTTTCCCCTCAAATGTTATGATGATTTTGTTTTAAAATGATCATAGCCAAACAAGCCTTACTAAGCCGTTGAAATCATGACATTTTATTTGCAATCAAAATTAGACATTCCATCGACGAGAAATTTAACTGTGACTTTTGGCTGGGGGGACGAATAGTCAACAAAGTTTTGGTACGAGGTTTCAAATACTTAATTTAAAATTGCTTGTGATTATTTATTTTAATAGTTTTGAATTACTATTTTAATTAAAAATCAGATGGAAAAGGGTTTTTCAAATGTGAGCACGAACAAATATTTCAGTATATATTATTTAATTTAAAACATAGAAAAGTATTCATATATTTATTACCCAATTTCGGTAACAAAATTTATAAATCACATATTATCATGTTCTAACTAATAACAATTTTTGTTTAGTTATACGGTGAGGGGAACAAAGCCAATATTTAGTAGCATGGTAACAATAAGCTGAGAGGAACAAAAATTAAATTTAAAAGTTATTATAAAGATATTTGCCTAGTACGAAGAAAAGAGGGAGGAAAGCGAAAATTTTAATAACTTCAGCCTAGGAAAGAAGATGGGGATGGAGCGAAGAAAAAATTTATAAAAGAATAGGTAGAGAAAGAGGGGAGGAAATTTTCTTTAAAAATTTTTCGCTCCATTTTCCCATTTTTTGTAAGTAGATTTATTAAAAAGCTTCCTTTGTCCGCTTTTCTCAAAATAAATAGATGGCAAATTTGTCACAAAATTAAAAATTCAGATCCCTCAATTTAAAAAAAAAAAACATTAATCATTAGATTGTCATCTAACAATCATTTCGAATAGTTTATAAGTAACTTATAAATAGTTTTTCAATAATAATTTTAAAAAATAAATATGTGAAAAAAATTTATTTTGATTTACATAAAATATGTTTATAAAATATTTTTA